TTAGAAGATAAAATTTCATTATTTTCAAAATAATTTTATTTAACAAATTATAGAACTCTTAAAGGAAACATGGATTGTGATTCACTCACATTTTTGTAGGAATAAAGAAGGACTGAAAGTATAAATGGGTGAAAACAACTGGCAAAGTAATTAATTCTAAAAACTACTAAATCAAGATTTATGTTAGCAAAGTCCCTTTTTCTTCTTCTTCCTGTTTTTTTTAGGGAGATTGTTGCTATAGGGCATGTATGCTCACCGTAATCCCTTCTCCTTCATTCTCCTGTCATGATTTTGGGCATGCATGCACTTGCACCTGGTGTGAGTTTTAAGCCACCAGGTCCGGGACTTGAGCCACAATCAGCTATGTGGGAGTCCAGTAACAACATGACCAATAAGCCTTCTTCTGGTCCTACAAAGTCCATTTTTAAATGATAAAAATGCTTTAGCTTGGTGAACTTCATTTTTGTCACATATAGATATGTGTGTGTATATGTGTGTGTGTGTGTATATATATATATACACACACATATAAATATATATATTCACACACACCCATACATACCTACACACACATACACACACACACACACACACACCTATCATTAATTCTGTTCTTCTGTAGAACCTTGACTAATATAGCAGCTTAGTAAGAAGAGTAAGAAGATGACCTCTGCTCTCTTACTGGTCCATATTAGCAAAGAATAATGGATTAAAATTTTATTTTTCTAAATTTACTATAAGGCACATGTGCTCGCTGAGATGAGAGAGAGACAAAGAGAGAGGAAGTGAGAAAGCACCCTCCATGGGTCATGGTCATGCTACAATCCTGTCTCCTCCATTTGTCCTTCCTTTAGGGATTATGGGCATATACCCATGTATTCCCAGTATGTTTCTCAGGCCTCTGGATCTGGGACTTGAACTGCAGGGTGAGCCACGTAAGACCTAGCTACTTTAACCACCAGGCCACAGGCTGGCCCACCTTACTGATATATAGAGAAAAATTAGAACTCATTTAAAAACATTACTGTACATTTTTCATCAATAATGTTAATTATTATTTTGTTATTACCTTCTTTTTTCATTCCTGCTCTAAAACACTTCCTTAATCGACAATATCTACATTGATTCCTTTTGTCCTTGTCAACAACACATTGTCGACTAAACCTGTAACATCGAACAAAGATATATTAGTGTGCAGAAAACTATTATTTATCAAGAAAGCAAACAGACATATGCACTTTTAATAAGCATGATCAAATTTGAAAGGTGTTCAAGAACAATTATGACTTTTTCAGTGTCACAATTAGCATATACAAGGGAATACAAGCTTTACCTCCCATGAAGTCTAACATAAAGCTGAATCACTTTTATTTTTGTCCAGTGTGCATGGTCATTTATAACATGAGTCATGAAAACCAAGCCTAGTTTTTAAAATCTTTGGCATATAAATTCTAGTTGTTTATTGCTAAATGATGTCAGTGTGATGGAGAATATATCAGAATTTCATTCTGCACCTTCATAGTTTTTCTCTATTTAAATATTAATTTTAATTTTTAAATATTTTATTAATTTTACATATAACTCATATCCAACTGATGTACACTCTAAATGCCAAATTCCATATTAAAGGGCCATTGGGAACAACTTTGAGAATAGTCTCTGCACAATGAAGTATCACTTCACACCCATTAGAATGGCTATCATTCAAAGTGCTGATGATAATGTAGAAAAACTAGAACCCTCATACAATGTTGGTTAAAGTATTAGAGAGCAGCAGATGGTGTAATGGTTACATGGTTGGACTATCATGTAGCTGACGGTGGTCTGAGTCCCAGACCTGTAAAAACTCACACCAGGTGTGTATGTGCGTATGCCCAAGATCTCCAGAGGAGAATGGAGGCATGGTCATCCGCCCTGAGGGGGGTGATTCCTCATTTTCTGTCTCTCTACTGAGTTCATGTACCCTATAACAAAAATCTCTCTCAAAAAAAAAAAAAAATTAAACATACAGTTCCTTTGAAAGAAAGTTTGGCTGTTTCTCAAAAAGTTAAACATAGACTTACTATACACCAGCAAATCTATGCTAGTTATATAACTCGGATAAATGAAAATATAAGTCTTCACAAAAGTCCTTAAGAGCATTATTCACTATAGCCAAAAAGTGGAAAAATCCAAATACCTCCCAAATATTAAAATAATAAACACAATGTGGTACGCCCACACAATGGAACAGGATTGTCCGTAAGTCGGCATGGAGTACTGATGCGTGCCGCAATGTGGATGACCTTGGCTATTCGATTCTAAAGGAAAGAAGCCAGGCACAAAAGGCCACCTGATGTATGGTTTTTGTAGAATCAAATATCCAGCAGAGGCAAAACAGAAAGTAGATTCATAGTTTTCTCAAGTTGTTGGGGAGGAGTAGAAGGTAAATGGAAAGCGACTGCTACAGGTGTCTATGTGAGGTGATGAAAATGGTCTAAATTGAATGTGGCATGGGTTGCACACAACTCTGAATACACTAAAAAACTCAACTGTATACTTAAATAACAACAACAACAACAACAACAAGAGTACAGATCTGAGCTTGACTTAGAGGTTCATCATTCAGTCTCAGTAGAGCTTGGGGATGTTAAAGAACACTAACTTACGATTGCAGAATAAGGAGCTGCACTTGCTGTGAAGGGTTATTGTGTGAATGTACTTTAAAGAGTTTGCATCAAACCTTAATTTTGTAGTAAACAATGTTTCTTCAAAACTTACATAAAATTATCCATAAATATCAGTATACCCCTGATTATTTATAATTTACTTAATGCTGAGAGAATATTTATTTACATGCATTTTTTGCCAAAGGACATATGCACTAGTTGGAGACAGACAGAATGTGCACTTGCCAAATAGAAACAGAGAGACACACTGAGAGGGAAGGTGAAAAATCACCACCTAGGGGGCATGGTCACACCACAATCCCTTCTCCTCCATTCTCCTTCTGGAATCTTGGGTATGTGTGAACATACAACCTATGTGATTTTCAAGCCACCAGGTCTGGAACTCCAATCGTGGTTGGCCATGAGGGAGTTCTGCATCTTAACCACTACACTGCTTGCTAACCCTTAAAGGAATGTATTTTATAACCTCTAAAAAAAATTCACTCTAAAATATATAAGTGGCCAGTTAAAGTCAAAAGAAAAATAAAGCCTATGATAAAAGAGTTGAGTTCAAAGAGATGTGCTTTCACAGTGAGGAGAAAAGTATTGTTTACGTGGGGATACATGGCTGAGGAGACCAGATTACCAGAGAATACAAGGACAATACATCCAATCAACGTCAAATTAATAACAGATTTCAGTAAACATATATAAAAAACCTACAACCATACAGACCCTAGTGAAGGGATTAAAGCTGAATACTACCGTGTCTCCTCCACTCGAGACAAAGAAAGTACAGAGATGAGATTACGATAGCCATTATGAAAACCAGAATGTGCTAGGGGCCGGCAGGTGGTGTGGTGGTTAAAGGCGCTGGATTCCCACATGGTCGACTGTGGTTCAAGTCCTGGACCTGGTGGCTTTCTCTCTCTTTCTCTCTCTCTGTCCCTCTCTAGTCAAATTGAAATAAACAAATGAATAAATAAATAAAGCTAAATGAAATAATTCTTAAAAAAAGCTTAAAAAAAAAGCAGAATGTGAGAAGTACTAAAACAGAAGCCTGAAGTGATCTGGGAGGGAAACTCACCTTCAATGTAAGCAGAGAGGGGATTTATGAATCTAAAGACATGGATACACTGAAGACCAGCCTAGCCTGAGCTTCGAGAAAAACATGCCCCTAAACTTAGACCAATATAATAACTACTTTCCTACTGATCTACTTTTTGCCTCTAGTTTTGATATATATAAAAGCAAACGCTTCTGAATACTATTTCTTATTTACCAAAAGATTTTTAAAGTAGATCATTTATATCTCTTTTAACCTCCTTTAAACTCTTCTGAAAAAATTACTAGGGAACTCTAGGTGATATTGGGGAGTTGTATATTAACTTTTATTACACCCTGTTATAAGAGAGTTAACTTCTTCTCAAATGTCCAACTTGTTCTTAAAAAAAAAAAAAAGCAATCTACATATACTTTTAATTAATAGAGCAAACACAAACTTTTTCCCTGTTAAAAACCAGGTTTTTTTACAGGTCTTTCCAATAGGGCGTGTGTGCTCGCCAGAAAGACAAAGAGAGACAGAGAAGACAGAGAGACAGAAAGCGAGAAATCACCCCACAAGGGGGATGGCCACACAGCAATTCCTTCTCCTCCAATCTCCTCCCGGGATCTTGGGCATGCACACACATGTGCCCAGCGTGACTTTAAGCCACCAGGTCCAGGACTTGAACCATGGTTGACTACATGGGAGTCCAGCGATATAGCCATTGCACTAACTGCTTGGTCCCTAAAAATCAATTATTTTTCTTAACATCCCATATTCAACCTAGATATTATGTGCTTTCAAGAACCATAATACCAAGCAATCGATGTGCAATACCTAAACCTAAACTGTGCTAAGTTGACAAGATATTTGCATTTTTTTCCCTTTTTTTGGAAAGGTTTTTTTCTTATTGGGTGCGTGCGCATGCTAGAAAGACAGAGAGAGACAGAGAGACAGAAAGCGAGAAATCACCCCCCAGAGAGGATGGCCACACCACAATACCTTCTCCTCCATTCTCCTCTCGGGATCTTGGGCATGCACGCACACGTGCCCGGTGTGAGTTTAAGCCACCGGGTCCAGGACTCGAACCACAGTTGACTACATGGGAGTCCAGTGACATAGCCATTATGCTAACTGCTGGTCCCAAGATAGTTGCATTTTTAAAAGTATAACATGTATCATACGAATATAGCTAGCGAGATTTAGACAAAAGATGTCAAATTAAAGGCAATGAAATGTGGCATGAAAAATACATTTTAAATTCTAGGACTGAAAATTAAATTTTATCCATTGACATCGACGAGCTACCTAAATCATACGTATTTTTCTAACTTTGTTTTAAACAATTCAGGATGTAATGATGCTGAAGAGAAATGTAACATGTAGAATGATAGACACTTTGAGAAACCACTCAAATACAGACTTGAAAATGTTCAATGGTGTATGAATATGTGGTTAAACAATAAACACAAGGAAAAGATCAACACCAAATGTCAGATAGTAGTTACCTCTGGGAGACAAGGGAGGAAGAGAAAATGACAAGGGAGGTGTCCGCTATAGGTTTCAACTATATTGGTCTAAACTGGGTGGTACGTACATGGATTTTTATATACCTTTTATTAGTTTAAAATGTTTCATAAACGATGAAGCAGCTGTGTGTGAATGCATCCTGTGTGCTTACCTACACTTGTGTTACAGCTTAGAAATTTCATTTATCGAGTAACAGATATGAAAGCTCTACATTTTCTTCCCTTACAACCCGTGTGCCATTTGGAAATGTCTCTGAAGATGACTTTCCTAAAAGGAGCATTTCTAGTACCTGCAGGAATAAACGTGACTCTTGCGAATGCTGCGTCTGAAAAAGCCCTTGCACCCGTCGCAGCTCGATGCCCCATAGTGCTTTCCTGTGGCTCTGTCCCCACATATAGCACATAGACAGTTGACACCGTTGTCTGCGGTATTCATACTTGATGTCTCTGGAGCAGAACTATCTGTTAAAGAACAAGGAAGAGGAGAATTCGAATTAGTGTTGAGTCTTGAGTGCACTGTCCTCCTGATACTTCATAGGCTCGAACGAGTCCATTCTTTGGCTTGTTGGAGTCCCCACACCACTGTTTTCCTTTTAACTATGGTCTGCTTCCACTGCAAACTACCTGCTTACATTTCTAACCAGTGACGTTTTTGCTTGTCTTTTCTTTAGTCTTCCCTGTGTCAGTCAATGATTCTATTCAGTACCTGGGCCAGCACCTGAAAGTCATCTTTGTAGTCTCTCTTCATCCTTCTTATCTAATCCATTAGAAGTCCACATTAAAAACATATATTTATGGGCCAGCCCCACAGCCAAGAGGTTAAGGGAGCTAGCTCCCACAAGGCATAACACACAATTTGATTCCCAGCTCCAGGGGCTTGAAAGGCATATTGGGCATTGTGTGTGTGTGTGTGCCCCAAATCATGAAGGACAGAGAAATGGAGAAGGAATTGCAGCATAACCACACCCTAGTAAGGGGTGCTTTCTCCCATGATCTCTCTCTCTTTCCATTTCTCTGTCTCTCTCTGGTGAGTGCACTTCCCTTCTGACAAATAAAATACAAATTTAATTCACAATTTTTCACCTTTCACAATGGTCACCCTTATCCAATGGGCTCTCTTCTTTCCCCTGGATTATTGCACTAGCCTTCTAACTAATATCTTTTCTTCCTCGCTTGCCTCTACTGTTTATGTATTACTCCAAAGCCACCAAAGTGAAATCGGTTAAAGAAATTGCCACCATTGCCCTTTAGTGTCAAACCCCATTATGATTTGTCACTAGAAGGAAATAAAGCCTACCCACCTTACTATGACCTGCAAAGCCCTGCAAAGTCCCTCCCAACCTTCACCTCTCTAACCCCAGTATCTGATGCCCCCTTTCATCTGGTTTAATATTCTTTAGTAAGGGTAATGTTACCCTTTTTTCCCCTTTCGAAGTCTGTTCTCATCTTGGAACTTCTGAATTTTTAACTTCCACTTGGAAGGAAAGTTCTTCTCCAAGACTTTCTTTGAGCTAGCTACTAGGTTTCTGCTTAAAGCTCACATTATATATAAAAATCTTCTTTGAACACACATTTAAAAGAGTTGCCTCCCATCTGTCCTTCAAGTAGAACCTAGTGCTCTGCTTACCTTTATTAGTTAACTTAACTGCTAAAATTGTAATATGCATTTATTCACTCATGTATTACCTACCCATCTTTACACACAGAATATAAACTTCATGATGTCTGATAATTTGTCTCATTTACCCCGTCTGTTTTTCAACTTTTAGAATTGAATATATTGAAAGATATTGAATAGATAAGCTAACATATTAAAAATAATTATAATAAAATTGCATAATAGAAACATGATAGTTCATTATTTTATCTCTAATGTAACAAATTAAGAAGATGAAAGATGGTCATGTCCCAATTATATTCTGTGATATTACACATTTTCTAATTTCTAATACTTCTGAATAGATAAGTATTGTCATGTATATATAACTTTAAAAAGTTAAAAAAACTTTATTGAATATTCTTAAATTTAATCATGGGATGTTATGATATTTAAACACTAAGTATTTTCCTTTTGGTAACACTGACAAAATAGATATGGAGGTCAGAAGTGTTCAAAGTTTGTTGTATTCAAGGAGATTATAAGGAAATATAAAAAAAAATTAAATTTCAGCTTCAAGTTTAATGCCATACATGCATAATACTGATGACATTATTTTTGACCACAAGAAAGCAACAGTTACTAAACACACTTATGAAATACTTTTATATGTTAGCTGTTTTATTATAGTCTGGTAAATATTCATGGTAAAGAAGTCCTTACCATTTAGTGATTTAGTCTATTTTTTTAAAGTCATGATTCTAATGAAACACTCTATTAAATATCTCTAAATCACATATAATTATTTCTAAATATGAAGAACCAGAAGAGTGACATGCTAAGAAGTGTACGATAGGTTATTTTAATTAAGTGTACTAACATTTCATTTTTTGACAATTTTTTAAGTCATTACACTCATAAACTATTGCTAGTTGCTGGGGAATTACACCAGATTATCAGTCATACAAATTGTACAGTATAGTAGAATATTACAATATCTTGAGTACAATATGTATCTTCAATCCTGAACTAAACACACACACACACACATACATACATACATACATACACACACACACACACACACACACACACACATTTTCCAAAGTAAAGATAATTGCTAGATGTTAGGAGTTCTAATAGTAATAACTTGTTTCAGACAAAATTTTTCACTTGGAAAAAAATCTAAATTCAATGTCAATAGTAAACCACATTATATAAAGACACGAACTCTAAACAATTAAAGCCAAATTTAAAGTTAAAATGTTACAATAGATAAATACCAAGAACTCTGTAGAGCTAAACATTAGCCTGTCAAGAAGCATTATACTATAAACCTTTATTTCCTTTCATATTTGTGTCCAATGCAAAAACTTGACAATAATTTTAAATGCACTTTTTCATCAGAAGTAATTGGGAACTGGAATAATGAAAAGGAAGAGGCCTCAGCGTTCGGTAGAAGCTTTGTTCTATACGTCACTTTAAATATTGCATACAAAATATACTTTCACAGCCAATCTGCCAATACTACTTACTACAATGATTTACAGCAAATAAAATAACTGCTGAAGCTACTCTTTTTACCTCTCTAACTGACCCGGACAGAATTTCAAGTTACTTTATTACACAAAACCGGGCTTTTTCTACTTCTAACATAAAATAGTCATAGCATTATTAATTTAAATTTTGTGATGAAGTGCAAAAGCTCATAGATTTGTGGCCTGAAAAAAAGCAAGCCCTAAATTCTTTAGCAATAAAACATTGAGCTACCACCTCAGGAAGCTTGGTTTTCCTTCTTACCTTACACTTGCTTTATATCTATAAGCAGATGAGACTCACCATTCGAATTATACAGAATCTGCATAGTTTCAAACTCCAGAGTTGTGTAAGTGGGGTCCAAAACTTCACTGTAATTTGCCATGTCCATGTCCAGTATCGGTTCCGATACCCTCATCATTGATTTAGAAACACATACAAGTGGCACCACAAGCCTGGGGTGTTGTGATGACTGTTTTCAATCTGTGCGTGATCATGCAAAGTTAACTGTAACTGAGTGACTTAAGAGCTGCAGTGGGAGGGGCTGTAAAACTGTAACCTCCTCAGCAGGTCATATTCTGCTTATTTCTTCTTTTATGGCATTCGAAAGCAATTCCTTGTGATAATCTTGGAATGCTTCATGGCATCACCTTATCTGAAATGCTTAGTGGACTGACACGATTTCCTAAAGTGATTTCCAGTACACAATTAATGATGTCATTAAGAGAAGGATTAAAAATAGAAAAGAGAATCCCCCATGTTTTTTAAACTGTAATTATAGGGTGAGGTGAACCATTTAAGGGGCTATAACTACATACTACATATTCTGAAAGATAAAATTTCCTTTATTGTTATAAATTTAATAAGTTGAACCTATAAGTTAACAGTTAACTTTTAACATAAGCACTTAACAATTTTTTTCTTTCGTTTTTGTTTTTTTTGCTATAGGGCTTGTGTGCTTGCCAGAGATTTTCAAGCCACTGGATATGGGACTCAAACCATACAATTAGATGTGGGATCTTAACTCCACACCACCTGACAACCCAGTATTTGGGACCAGCAGTTGGCATAATGGCTATGTCGTTGGACTCCCATGTAGTCGACTGCGGTTCGAGTCCCAGATCCAGTGGTTTAAACTCACGCTGGGTGTGTGTGTGTGTGTGTGCCCAAGATCCTGAGAGGAGACTAGAGGAGAAGAGATTGCAATATGGTCATCCTCCCTGGGGAGTGATTTCACGCTTTCTGTCTCTGTCTCTCTCTGTCTTTCTGGCGAGTGCACGTGCCCTATAACAAAAGTCTTCCCCCCAAAAAAACAGAATTTAAAAATTTCAAGTTTCCATCCAAGTATAATAACACTAATTTTGTTTACTTTAGTGTAAAACAAATTTGTTATTTGGGATGAAAAAAAATGACAGGATTGATCTAGTCTAGCAGCACCCTGGAATAGCCCCATTACAGCTTTTACATATTCTCTTTAACAATCAATTTATAGATCTGTTGCCCTTCCATATTTGTAAACTTCCCAAGGGCAGAACCAGTACACCTGCTAGTATATTGTAGGTTATCATTTAATAATTGCTGCATGAATAAGGTTCATTTTTTTTATTTGAATGGTTCTACACATGTCCATCAACAATTTCCATCTATTGGGTTATCACAAAAGTCGTGACACATTTTTGCATAGAAAATATACATGACTTAGGACCAGCAGTTAGCATAATGGCTAAGTTGCTGAACTCCCATGTAGTCGACTGTGATTTGAGTCCTGGACCTGGTGGCTTAAACTCACACCGGGCGCATGTGCGTGCAAGCCCAAGATCCCAAGAGGAGAATGGAGAAGAAGGGATTGTGGCATGGCCACCCCCCCACCCCGGGGGGGGTGCTTTCTCGCTTACTGTCTTTCTGTCTCTTTCTGTTTTTCTGGTGAGTGCACGTGCCCTATAGAAAAAAACCTCTCCCCAAAAAAAGAAAATAACACATGACTTTTCCAACCACCCAATATATAGGACATCCATAACTTTTATGTGTATATGTGACAAGGAACATTTGGAGTTTGAGGGATATTTAGATGATAGCATTCAATGAGTGTATTTCATTTCTAAGCATTTATTTTATTTTATTTTTCAAGATTCAATTCCAGCTCCATATACAATCTAAATTCAGAATTTCATTTTCCACATTCGTTAAAGATTGTGGCAAAGTCAGCCGGCAGGCGGCATGGTGATTAAGGTGCTGGCTGACTGTACAGTTCGAGTTTCAGACCTGGTGGCTTAAAAAAAACACATCAGGTGTGTGTCCATGCATGCCAAAAATACTAAAAGAAAATGGAGAAGAAAGAATTTCAGTGTGCCTTTGTGTTTGCCAGAGGGAGAAACAGAAAGAGAGAAAGTGCAAAATCACTCCTCAGGAGGGATGACCACACGGCAGTCCTTTCTCCTCCATTCTCCTCTCTGGATTTGGGGCATGCACTCACATGTTCCTGGCATCATTTCCAAGCCACCAGATCCGGAGTTGGAACCATGTGGGAGTCCAGCACCATAACCATCACACTACCTGTAAGCCTTGTGTTTTGTTAACTGGAAGGATAATATTTTGAGTTACATGAAGGGACTGATTTCCTTTAATTAAAAAAAGAAATCAACATAGTTAGGTGGTTTTGGAGGAAGTGGACAGCAATTACATCCCATGGTTTTTCCCTGCATGACGTAGTTCTCATTCGCAGTGAAGTAACGAATTTGTTTCCTATGGAAGCCAATGGATGAATTCTTCATAGCCCACAAGTGTGCTCATTTATGTGCTAACTAGCGAATACTAAGGGATGTCACCAATGACAGTGCGTCTACAAAAGGAACAAAAAGAAAAAGATAAAGGGTGATTCATTTATAGGACTGTGAAACACTCAAAGGAACATGGACATAGTTCAGGAGAACAATGCTGTCGTAGTTTTATTGTTCCTCCTCATTCTGCCCCCTAAAGTACTACCAGATCAGAATATTTTAGCTGTAAGATAGAAAGAAGTATAGATTCATCTTACCACAGATCATCGAGAAGGTACTAGCAATTAATCAGAGCCGGCTTTCAAAATGGAACCTGTTTCTCATTCATGTTATTGTATAATATTTTCTTCATTTCACAGAGTAAGAACTTGAGAACTTCCAGAAGGTATATTAGATCTAAATAGCAAGCATGTCTACTCAAGTGGGTAGATTTTTAATGATATACAGACATGGAAATACCCATAGAACTCAGTCAGCTTCAGCTTAGCAGAGGAGAAACTCTCTTTAGCTTTTACTCAAAGAAATTACAAAGTACAGTGGAAATTTCTTAAACTCTAGGACTGATAATTAACTGAATAGATTAAGCACATAAAATAGTTGAAAAAGAAAATAACAAAAGCAGAAATGTATACTTAATAGGTTATTTGACTTAGACATAAATGCTTTTGTTTTGTTCTAGAAGCGATATCTTTTCAAGTAAAAATCCACTCATTGAAATTGTTCACTACTTTTTTTTACATAAGTCTCATGCACTGTCTTTGCTTCTAGTATGTTCTTCTATAATGAAGAAATGCTACCTATAAAGCAATTTGACCACAGATGTTTCTAGAATTTTATAGTTTTTCAAAAATTTTTTCTGTATTTTATTCAACTTTTATTTATTTTCAAAGCATTTTCCCTTTTTTTATTGACAGGGGAGCTCAAACTCTTTTAACTATCATGTTGCACTGGATCACCATACCAAGGATGGGAAATTACATTTTGTATGCTGTGACACTGCTCAGTGAATAAATGATTAAAAAAAACCCACTAAGTTATGAAATGAAATAACAAGAACAAATGGCAATAACATGGTAAGTAACAAACACAAGTGACTCAATATAAATTTGTTGAGATGTGCCTGACCAGGAAACTAATCAGTATGATCCACAAGGGAAATGGAGGACCTGAGTCAATCCTAGATTAGGGATTGCGGGGGAGGGAGGAGAGTGGCTAAATGGAGATAAATTGGAGTTTCTCTTGTATGGATTTTAACTTGAGGTAACTTGTATATATAAATTAACTTTCATTCCTCTTTATGATCAACTCCCATCTCTACTTCTAAAAGCAATTAAGCTATATTCAGAATATTTTTATTTGGTTAAAGAGGAACAAGACAGGGCAAAGAGTTAAGATGAAGAAGAAAAGAAGTAAAGAGGGAAAAGAAAAGATCACAGAAATACTACTTCAGTTATGGTTAATTTTGGATTTTTAGTTGTGCATTACAATCAAAGCAAGTATCATATTTTTTAGTATTCCCTGCATTTCCTATTCAGTAGAGATTGTGAGATTTTCTTAATTCAGGAAACAACTGAGCAGAGTAAAATGATAAAATTAAATTGAATAAACCTTAGACACATAGAATAGTCACAGTGCTGATTTGTGTATTTTCACATTAAAATTCAGTTATTTTCAGGAATGGAATAGATCAATATCATCCAGTCAGTCTTTCATTATTGCTTTATCAACTATTCCTGTGGGTAAATTCATTAAGGTTATATTAGATTAAGAGCTTAAGAAGTTTAAAAAAAAAACTATATTAATTTTATGCCTAGATAATAACAGAAATAATTTTACTTAAACAGTTTCGATGTTACTAATCCTTACGTTCAACATAAATTTATGAGTCTTTTAAGTTTACATCTAAAGGTTGAATTGGGGAAAATATCAAATATATATGCTAATATATGAAATAATAATGCAAAAGTAGTGCACATTTTCTAAAATAAAATATGTAAACTTAGTTAATACCAAAAACATAAATATATATAATGAACTATGATCTACTGAAAATCTGTTTTAATTGATGTAACATTCCAGTGTCAATTCTTCACACTGAGTGAAACATTACTGTTATTTAGCATGATCTCATGTTTTGTAGGCTAAAAGACACTGCTTTACCCCGAGGTCAAATATTGCAGAATGACAATAGTAATTATAGATAAGAGGTCAATTTTGAGTAGCACAATTAAATGGGCTTGAAGTCTGTTTCTCTCAGAAATAGGGTTCTCTAGACTGGCACATGAAATATGATATTTTAAATTTCTTTAGAGCAACATTAACAAGAGATGAAAATAGCACAGTGTTTAAAGAAGACAACAACTCAATTTACTATTAACTAGTCAAGATAATAGCAGAAACATTTCTATCTTATCTATAAGACTATTAAGTCTGTTAAATTGTTCTATACTTTTTATTTGAATTAATCATTTCTCCATAGCGTGATTTAAAATAGAAAACAGGCCAATAAAAATCAAGGTTGTTTTCATAAAAGGATTTTCATGGAAATAACTTGAAATGCTAATATCAATGTAAAATCATTTTATTGGAGAGTATAGTTAATGAAATCTGTTCATGAAATTTATTCCTTTGTGATTATTTTTCATTACCCAAAGTACTACATATTAATCCCAAAAGCATGTCTGT